GCCCTGGGTTCGATCCTCAGCACCACATAAAAATAAAAAAAAATTAAAAATAAAGATATGTGTCCATCTACAGCTAAAATAAAAGTTTAAACAATCATAATCCTCAATCCATAATACTCAAAATGTCAGCATTAGAAATCAAATTTGAAATGCAGATTATAGAGTCAGAAAATCTGGAATCTGCTTTTTAACAGCCCCTAGGGATTCTGAGGCAGGTCCCAGTCCACACTTAAAGTGTTGCTTAGCATTTTGTAGTGGAATGTGCTTACAGGTCCTTGTCTTCTCCAGCTGAGGAGTCTCTGGCTGGAAAGGTCAGGCAGGCTGTGGAGATGCGGTTTCATGGTAAGAGCAGGAGTGAAGGTTGTGGGCGGGGTAGATGAGGGGCTGAGGTCCAGGATAGCTTTTGCCCTCCTGCTCTAGCTTTGCCTTCTGAGGGAAGAGAGGAGACTCCTAGAGCCCAGGGGAAGAATGCTATTACAGCTCCGAACTTCTAATACTAGTACTGCTACGACTCCTTTTTATACCTCCTTGGATAATTCTCATCTGTAAAAAGGATGCCTCAAAAAATAACTGTGAGACATCCCCCCAAGTTAAAACGTTCCAGCGTCCCTGAGTCTTCCACTCCTCCAGCACAGATGTATTCAGATGGCAGACACGTTGTTCTGGCCTCTGACCAGCAGGTGGCAGCAACACATCTTTTTATCTTGCTCACCAGCACCTGAAAGAGATTCAGGTGCCTCACATTTGCACTACAACACAAGAAGCTATCCTCAAAGATCATATTGTTAGGGAATGGGAAGTCAGACATATAAATCAATAACTATTTCACTAGCTGTGTGACTTTGAGCAAGTTACTTAACCTTTTTGTGCCTCAATTTCTTCCCATTGTATTCTGTAAAATGGGAATAGTATCTAAATGATAGGGTTATTGTGAGGATTGGAAGTAATAAAGGTGTAAAATGCCTACCATGATACTTGGCATCTATGAAGCTTAGTTATTACTAAATAATTCAATAGGAGAAAAGATGAAATGGAAAAAGTGTCCAGGGTACTCCCTAACTGGGAGGGTTAATGCCCCCAAATGGAAATAATGGGGAAAGAATTCCACTGAAACTATTCTGTCAGTGTGGACCCTGAAATCCACTGGGCTTGAAAATCACTCCTGAAAAGTGGGGAGCTGGATTCTTTATGGGTGAAGCTCCACTTGGATCCCAGAGCCCAGCACATCAGCAGGGCTGCTCAGGGCTTGATTTCCTAGAAACAAGCACTGTAAGACTCCAGACAAGCACCGTCATCTCTCTGAACCTCAAGTCCTACCTAAGTGGTGGGGAAAAGGGACCTTGGGAACCAAAGAACAGTGCTGAATTCCTAATCTGGGACAGAAACACCCCCATTGCCAGGGATTGCACCCAGTGGCATGCTACCACTGAACTATAACCTCATAAAATACACCTTTTTGTATTTTATGTTGAGACAGTGTCTCGATAAATTGACCAGGCTGGCCTTGAACTTGTGATCCTCCTGCTTCAGCTTCCAGAGTAGCAGGAACTACAGGTATATGACACAGGGCCTGGGTGGCAAAGGAATCTTGGGGAGGACACTAGCTTTTCCCTGGTATGTGGAGTGGAGGTGTGAGCCAATCCTCAACCTAAGGAGCAGGACCCCAGATGATAGTACTCTTGTCAGTAACCTAAACTTTGTTGTTCATCTTTCTTTTTTTTTTTATATTTATTTTTTAGTTTTCGGCGGACACAACATCTTTGTTTGTATGTGGTGCTGAGGATCGAACCCGGGCTGCACGCATGCCAGGCAAGCACGCAACCACTTGAGCCACATCCCAGCCCCATTGTTCATCTTTCTTGAAAATCCCTATGTGCATTCAATGGTTGTTTCTCTCAGAGCCTTCAACAGAGCAGCCAAGGGAGGCAGGAGAAGGAGGGGTAGTGATAATACTGGCTGGTGCTTATACAGCATGTACTATGGGCCGAGTACTAAGAGCTTCACATATTATAACTCATCAAATCCTCCCAACTCTATGAGGTAGGTACTATTATTATTATCTCCATTTATGGATAAAGAGGATGGGGTGAATAGAGGTTTAGCCACTTATGAAAGCCCAAAGCACACAGCTTATCAAATTGAACAATCATGTTCAGAGTTCTGGGACACTAAGGAAGGATGAGGCTACCCCTGTCCCCAGTCATCAGCCAGGCATCGCTAGGCTCCTTCCATCTCAGGTCCAGCACTGCTTTTGGCCACTAGTTGAGACAATCCAACAGAAGCCCAGATCCTCACTGCACTTAGGGGCTGACAATATCACTTGGGAGATTAGTAATAGTAAAATAATAAAAATGTAGCTCAGGAGCTGGGGTTGTGGCTCAACGGTAGAGTGCTCACCTCGCACATGCGGGACCCTAGGTTCCATCCTCAGCACCACATAAAAATAAATAAAATAAAGGCATTGTGTCCAACTACAACTAAAAAATAAATATTTTTTTTAAAAAAGTAGCTCATATTTGCAGCCTTTACAATGTGTGTCCTAAGCATATCCATATATTTATTCATTTAATCTTCCTAATACTACAAGGTAGAAGCTACAGTTATCTGTATTTTGTTGAGATGGAGGAACAAGCCAGGCATGGTGGCACAGGCCTGTATTCCCAGCAGCTCAGAGGCTGAGACAGGAGAATCATGAGTTCAAAGCCAGCTTCAGCAACTTTGTGAGGCCTTAAGCAATTTAGCAAGACCCTGTATCAAAATAAAATATAAAAATGACTGGGAATGTGGCTAAGTGGTTAAGCACCCCTGGTATTGAAAAAAAAAAAAGATGGAGGGAAGCCTAAATTTGTACAATAGAGAGTAGGGGGACCTGGAGAAGAGTGGCAGTTGGATTGGATCTTACCCATGACTTTTCCCACCTGTCTTCCTGCTCTAATATCTCCCAGGCCTGGCTTCTTTCCAGTAAGCAGAGGAGCCACCTCTGCCTGGCAGTTTCCCCTCCAGGTTCTGGTCTTCCTCACTCCATAACTGGCAGAGCCCTACTGAAAGACCCTCTGGTCTCCTCTCCTCTGAGGCATCTGAGGGTGGGAGGGGCTTAAGTAAGAAAGGGGATAGGAACTCCACCAGGGACTCCCCAGCTTGAGTCCCCTCTACTTTCAGAGGCCAGGTCTACACCAGCTCCCTACAGACAGGACTTGAGCTGGTCCTCCCCAGGCCTTGCCTGCCCTTCAATACAGGGTGCAGTGCTGGCTTTCAGTTAGTTCCTGGAGGGTGGGGCTGAATATGCGGTAGATGAGGCTTCTCACCAATGGCTGCTGGGGCTCAGAGCCCAGGGCTGCGGCAGAAAGCACCAAAGTTTCCCCAGCCCCCTCCTCACTCCTGCCAAGCTCCTAACCAGAAGTTAGGACTTCTCATGAGACCACAGGGATAACTCCCAGTTAGTTAAGAGTTAGGATGGTTTATCCATCCTGTCCCCTTTCTCCCATCCTCCTTCTTCCCATTTCCCTGGCAACCAAACCAGATCAAGGAGAAAGACCTGGCAGCTGTGCAGGGAGAGACTAATAGCCCGGAAGGAAGGAGGGGCCTGGAAAGCAGGGGGAGGCTGTAGGGATGTGAGCTAGCTAGCAGGGCGTTGGCTCTGGCCCATCTCAGAGGACACAAAGGGAGTGGGGAGTTCTCTGTCCTGCAGTATGGAGGAGCTGGCCAGCCAGTGATCCAGCCTAGAACCCCAAGCCTGCTTCCCAAGACACCCAACTCTCATCCTCAGGGCCAATCTGAGGTGGACCTGTCCTTCTGGAGAGCCTGGGAATCCCCTGCAGCAGCAATCCCTTGGCTCCTGGCAAGCCAACAGGCCTCAGCACCCTGACTCCCGCAGAGCAGACCATTCCATCGGAGCTGCCTCTGGCCACTCCTGGGCAGCCTGTGCCTGCATTCTGGAAGCTGTGTGACATGCAAAGGCCAGACATCAGCCTTCCCTCCAACTTGGTGTGTGTGTGTGTGTAAAGGAATGTATGGTTGTATATTTGTGTGTATAATGTGTGTATACATGTATAGGGGCTATGCATATGTATCTGTTTATGGATCTGCCCAGGGCCTTTTCTCTCCTTTTTAGATGGTGTGGGGAGGGAGGGGGGTTAGGCACCTTCTCTTTTCCCCAGTCTCCCCCATCCCCACCAGCTCAGCCCATCCCTGGGTACCTGTAACTCCTCAATACTGGAAACCGGTTCCGGCCAGTCTGTTCAGCCTTGGCAGTAGCTGCTGCCCTTCAGCCCCCTCCCCTTGGTACCTTAGGAATTGCCCTGGTTCCCGTAAAGCCCATGACTGAGCAGCAGTTGGTAGGGAGGGGGGTGGAGAGGCAGACAGCATATCTCAGGCCCACATAGCTTTCAGGCTTTGGCTGGCACACATCCTCCAAGAACTGGGCCCAGCCCTCCTCAGGCCCCTGTGAAGTACCGGCCCTGTTGCAGCCTGGGTTAGGTTCAGGTTTGGGGCTGTGTCTTTAAGGTGGAAACATCAGCAGCAGACAACCTCTGCAGGGATAGGGGGAGGGTGAGGGGAGTTGGTCAGTCCATTAGCGGCAGAGCTGGCGCCAATCACTAGCCCTTCACAGGGCCCTGGGGAATAGGGAGAGATCAGCCCTTCCCCAGCCCCCTCTGCTTCTGCTCTCCTGTCCCGTATTTCTTCTGGGTATGGTGAAGGAGGCAGCCACAGACAGCAGGTGAAAGAATGGCCCTGTTTCCAGCAAGTGGAAGCACGCGCAAGTGGAGGCCCAGGCCAGGCCAGCTCTCCATCCACCTAACCTCATTATTCATGTGCCAGAAGCTTGCCCTTTAACCTCAGGTCCTCCTATTCCATAATTTTTATCAAATATTCGGGGCAGGGACCCCAGTTCAAGTCAAGACTTCCCATCCTAGGCTCTAGCTTTGAATGCTTGCTGGAAGGCGCTGACCCCTACCCCACTCCACCCCCGTCTATAGTTACATTCCCGCTTCTACCCGCTCCAGCAACAGGGGGAATCAAGTAGGCTGGGCGCCCCGCACCCAGGCGGGGGAGGGAGCTGCGCCGCAGCAAGTTCCGCAGGGTGGGGCGTCCCCCTCCCCACACAGCCCAGCCTTAGCCGGCCCTCAGGCCAGTGGGAGGAGCTGCTCGTGCTCCCCTCCGGGGGACCACAGGGCTATAAAGCCGCCCCGCAGCTGTCTGCGGCTCCTTTCCGCCCTGTCCTAACTCTGAGAGCGGTGATCACCAGCAGTCATGAGCCACCATCCGTCGGGCCTCCGGGCCAGCATCAGCTCCACCTCATACCGCCGCACCTTCGGGCCTCCACCCTCACTGTCTCCTGGGGCCTTCTCCTACTCGTCCAGCTCGCGCTTCTCAAGCAGCCGCCTGCTGGGATCGGCGTCCCCGAGTTCCTCGGTGCGCTTGGGCAGCTTCCGTGCCCCTCGAGCTGGGGCCCTGCGCCTGCCCTCAGAGCGCCTCGACTTCTCCATGGCCGAGGCCCTCAACCAGGAGTTCCTGGCCACTCGCAGCAACGAGAAGCAAGAGCTACAGGAGCTCAATGACCGCTTCGCGAACTTCATTGAGAAGGTGCGTTTTCTAGAGCAGCAGAATGCAGCCCTGCGCGGCGAGTTGAGCCAGGCCCGGGGCCAGGAGCCAGCGCGCGCCGACCAGCTGTGCCAGCAAGAGCTGCGAGAGCTGCGGCGAGAGCTAGAGCTGCTGGGGCGTGAGCGCGACCGGGTGCAGGTGGAACGAGACGGGCTTGCAGAGGATCTGGCGGCGCTCAAACAGAGGTCAGGGGGCAGGGCTGGGGCTGGGCGACGGCCGTCGAGGCGACAGTATCTCTCTCCCTTCTTCAGCAATCCAAGGGCGTGGTTCTCTGGGCCAACCCGAGTGTGTGCGGGCAGCATCCTCGTCCGTGTTCTAATGGTCTGGGTGGTGATGGGGATATCCATGCCTTCCCTGCGTGTTAAGGGGACCCCTTCTCAGCTCTCAGAGCTTTGAAAAGAAAGTCGGGAGATTCTACCAGGCAGCCTCTTCCCTAGAAGTCCTGGGCAGTAATAACAGGGATCCTAGGGGACACGGTTTGGGGCGAGGGCTGGGAGAAGTACCTGAAGCTCAGTCTCTAAACATTCTACACATCAGGTTGGAGGAAGAGACGCGAAAAAGAGAGGAAGCGGAGCACAACCTCGTGTTCTTCCGCAAGGTGAGCCTCGGCTTCACGTCGAGTTCCGCTTCTCTACTCCTGTCGCTGACTTGCTTGCCCAGGGTCCCATCGGTTGGCGTGGGAAGGCAACCAAATTGCCTCCAGAGGCAGATAGGGAAGGCTCGGCCCTTCCTTGTCCTGAACAGTCCCTCCTTCTCTTGAACCCCCATTCCCACCCCACAAAGGATGTGGACGATGCCACCCTGTCCCGCCTGGAACTAGAGCGCAAGATTGAGTCCCTGATGGATGAAATTGAGTTCCTCAAGAAGCTGCACGAGGAGGTGACCCGGGGAGGTTTGGGAGTGGCTTTGTTGGAGCTGCGGACATTAGTGGGTGGGGTTGAGGAATCGCCCTGGAGATTAGAAGTGAGATTTTCTTTGGGTAGACGCTGCCATTCATCACTTGCTCTACAGGTGGTTTGGATTCCCACCCCTGCGCCACCTGTTGGTAGGCATTGGAACTACACTCAACTTGACCGCTGGTTTAGCACCAGCCTGGGCGCAGGTTGCGCAGTCTTGTGCGCTCTGCGCTACCTGGAGTCCCATTCCATTTGTCAAGTGTTTCCTCTCTTATCTAGGTGCAAACTGCGCACTCCCGCTCGGATTTGCGCTGTAGGCTCATTCTTTGTCTTGTCCTGGAGGATAGGAGCTGCGAGACCTGCAGGTGAGCATGGAGAGTCAGCAGGTGCAGCAGGTGGAGGTAGAGGCCACGGTGAAGCCAGAGCTGACCGCGGCGCTGAGGGACATCAGGGCGCAGTATGAGAACATCGCAGCAAAGAATCTGCAGGAAGCAGAGGAGTGGTACAAATCCAAGGTGGGAGAGCTGCGGGAGTGGAAGGATGGGGAAGTGGAAGGAAAGAGCCTGAGGAGGGGAGACGCTGGGGAGTGTCACTTGTCCCAGCCCACTCCAACCCTGGTTACTCTTTCACCCCGCAGTATGCAGACCTGTCCGATGCTGCCAACCGGAACCATGAGGCCCTGCGCCAGGCCAAGCAGGAGATGAACGAGTCTCGACGCCAGATCCAGAGCCTGACATGCGAAGTGGACGGGCTGCGCGGCACGGTGAGAAAAAGCTGCACTCCCGGGCCAAAGGTGGGGAGGGGCGGACAGAGGATGAAGGGTTCCCTGGTTGACTCCTTTCTCCTTCTCCACCGCAGAATGAGGCGCTGCTCAGACAGCTGCGGGAGCTGGAGGAGCAGTTCGCCCTAGAGGCAGGTGGGTATCAAGCCGGGGCCGCGAGGCTCGAGGAGGAGCTGCGACAGTTAAAGGAAGAGATGGCGCGGCACTTGCGTGAGTACCAGGAGCTTCTGAACGTCAAGATGGCCCTGGACATCGAGATAGCAACCTACCGGAAATTGCTGGAGGGCGAAGAAAGCCGGTGAGGGGTGGGGCTTTGGGGGTGGGGCAGGGAGTGATCCGCTTGGCAGGTAGAGGGATGGGAATGGCCTGGGCAGAGCACGCTCGCTGACTGTGCGCTTGGTCCACAGGATCTCCGTGCCCATCCATTCCTTTGCTTCTTTAAGTTTAAAGACAACCGGTGAGTCCTCTGCTTCTGACTTCCAGACTGTACCTCCCTTGGTCCTCTTGTGCTCTGATTGGACTTTTCTTGTTCTAGCTCTGCTCAGGGATCAGTTCTCTCAAGGAAACTACTGAGTCCTGATTTATACTGGTCCCTACTCCTCTTGACATGCCTTACCCACCCTTGGGAATGGGAGTGGGAGCCTGAAAGAAGAGACCCCCCCCCTTGGGAATGGGAGTGAGAGCCTGAAAGAAGAGAAACCCCCAAGTCATTTCCCTTCTATCCCTCACCCTGCTTTCTCTAGTGCCTGAGGTGGAGCCTTCCCAGGACATCCACAGCCGGAAGATGGTTCTAATCCGAACAATTGAGACCCGGGATGGGGAGGTGAGACAAGTCCCCTGTCCCAGGTACCCATGGTACTTCTAAACCCCAGCCTGGCTATAGATCTTGAGAGTATTGAGGATGAGTGGTTCCTGGGGAAGCGATGGAGACAGAGAAGGGGGATGGATAAACTGGCCTCAGCTGGTTGTACTAGGCAAGGGACCCCAGGAACCTAAGGAGCATGGTGCTGAACCTTCTGCCCCTTGTATACCTTGCCCCCAGCAGGTGGTGACAGAGTCCCAGAAGGAGCAGCATAGTGAGCTTGACAAATCTTCCACTCACAGCTATTGAGCCCCTTGGCTGGAAGGTCCCTGCTCCTGCTCTAGGCCTACTCTAAGCCTGGACCCTAAAACTATCCCTGAATGAGTTTCCCCTCCTCTGCATGTGTCTGGGGTGGCATCAATCCCCCCACCCCTGTCTCTTAGCTAAGTCCTACCTGGCCAGCACTAGCTGAGCCTCTTCCTGACCTGATACATATACTTATTTCTTTGTGTCTTGGTAAGAGGCTGATGAGTACCAGGACAAGTCTGCTCCAGTCATGATCCCATGGTGGGGATGGGTAGGGTCTGAGTCTGAGTTTCACTGTTGAGTCAAATAAAATTGCTATTAAGAGAAACCTCCAGTGTATTTGTGTCTGTGGAAAGGGGAAGAGCCTCAGTAATTTATCTTTTTTTTTTTTTAAAGTGTTTTTTTTTATTATTTTTATTTTTTTTTTAATATTTACTTTTTAGTTTTCGGCGGACACAACATCTTTGTTTGTATGTGGTGCTGAGGATCGAACCCGGGCCGCACGCATTCCAGGCGAGCGCGCTACCGCTTGAGCCACATCCCCAGCCCTATCTTTTTATCTCTAGTCATTTCTTTTGTTGTGTTGGGGATCAAACCTAGGGCTTTGTGAATGTCAGGTTGTCATTTATTTTTTCTTTTTTTAAGATTTTTTTCACAATACCTTTATTTAATTTATTTTTTTATGGTGCTGAGGATCAAATCCAGGGCCTTTCACATGCTGGACGAGTGCTCTGCCTCTGAGCCACAACCCCAGCCCCAGATTGTCATTTATTTTCTGATCCCCACTGTCTTGGCAGAAAACTGAGTTTTCTCCTATTTCTATATTTTATCAACTTCTGTTACTCACCTGCAGCCCTGAATACACAGCTGCCTGCTGGGTATCCCATAGGTCACTCCAACTCAAACTGTTCCAAACAAACTCCCCACCTTTCTCTCCATCTGCAATCAGACTCTATCTTCTGGGTTCTCCACCCCGAAAGAAAGCACCACTGAACCTCTCTTGTCAAATTAAAATCTACTCATCTTGGCTGGGGATGTGGCTCAAGCGGAAAACTAAAAAATTATCTCTCTCTCTCTCTAAAAAAAAAAAAAAATCTACTCATCTTTTACACATTTCTTTTCTTTTCTACTATAAATTCTGTTAAGAATCTAATTTTTTTTCCCTGTGTGTGTGTGTGTTTGGTATATGTATGTGTGCACACATGTGTATGCTGGGTTTCATGTGCATACTAGGCAACGGCTCTAATACTGAGCTACACCCCTTACCACCACCACCATTTGCTTCTTAACTTTTTCAGGTTCTCCCCCTTCCTACTATCACCACCTTAGTCCGGCTATCATCATCTCTTGCCTGGGTTACATTAACTACATTATCAATGGTTTCCTTCCCTGGCCTTCCCCTGCCACCCATCCAAATCTATTCAATACACTTGGACAGCAAATTGGATTCTGCTACCCCCCCCACACACACACACTGCTTGAAATGTCTTATTTCCATGCTGTCCTCCAATTCCATTCCAGCCTAACTCTGCTGTCAAGTAAAAATCCACTCTGGGTTTAAGATTTTCTTCTCCATTCAATTATACTGCTAGGTTCAGAGAATAAGCCAGAATCTCTGCTTTCTAGGAGCTCACATCTGGGGTGATAGACAAATAAGCAGAAAATGCCAGCCCCATGAGCGCTACATCTGGAAAAAGCACATAGTGGTACAGTAACATTAGGAGGGGCTCTTGACCCAGTCTTTCGGGGTAGGGAGGGCTTTGGGAGATGAGATCACATTGAGCCCTGGTGAATGAGCAGGAGAACTAGGTCGAGAACTCAGCCAGGCAGTAAGAACAATTTGAAGACTGAAAGTGGTTCTAAAAACATGAGTGGAGGATAAAAAGGAAGAAATAGTGCTGAGGCTGGAAAGACAAAATAGGAGCCTGGTCATATGCAATAAGCCATATTGCAGAGCATAGTGGCACACACCTGTAATCCCAGCAACTTCAAAGGTTGAAGCAGGAGGATTGCAAGTTCAAAGCCATACTCAGCAACTTAGAGAGGTCCTAAGCAACTTAGCAAAGCCCTTTCTCAAAATAAAAAGGGGATGTGGCTTACTGGTTAAGCACCCCTGGGTTCAATCCCCAGTACCAAAATAAGTCATAAACCATATTGAGTCTTTCAGAATTTATCCTAAGGAAAAGGGGAGAAATGTAAGGAAGGGTTTTGAGAGGAGAATAAAATATTCAGATCTGCATTTTAGAAAGATTATGCTGGTGAAAAAATGTGTAGAAAGAATTAGAAGGAGAGATGATGATGAACAGGGTAGTCAGAAAGGAATTTGAGAAATATTCTGGGACAGCCAGGCAGATAGAAGTTAGCACCTTTCACAGAAAGAAGGAAAACCTGGAGCTGGGGGAGGGAGCAGAGGCCAATACGACAAAGTCAGGTTTTTTTTTTTTTTTTTTTAACCATACGATTTATTTTTATTTTTTTTAGTCATACATGACAGCAGAATGTATTTTGACATATAATACATACATGGAATGTACATACATCAATCATAATGTCTATTCTATTCTGCTGCCCTTCCTATACCCCCTACTCCTCCTCTCCTCTCCCATCCTTTCTCTCTATCCAATCTAATGTGACACACTTTTTTTTTCTTTTTCTCATCACAACATCATATATGTATTCTGTATAACAATGAGGTTCTCCTTCCATCTTCCATGCAACTCCCCTTCTCCCTCTTTTTCCCTCTCACCTCTCTTCCCTATTTAGTGGTAGTCTTCTTCTCATGCTCTTCCTCCCTATCCCATTTTGAGTCACCCCCCTTATATCAGAGAAGACATTCGGCATTTGTTTTTTAGGGATTGACTAACTTCACTTAGCATAATCTGCTCTAATGCCATCCATTTGCCTGCAAATACCATGATCTTGTTAACAAAGTCAGTTTTAAACTTATGGAATGTTAGACACAGTGGGACAGCCAAGAGGAAGGTATGATAAGCAGTTGAATCCATAAGTCTAAAGTTCCAGTGCGACTGGAACTTGGAAATACAGAATATATCAAAATGCATTATGTTGCAAGGAACAGTTAATACCCTTAAAAGGGAAGAAAAAAATATCTCAAATAACGAGGAGCCAGAGGTAGGAGTTGGGCTCTGAGGTTGGTTGATTCAGCAGTTTAATGATGACATCAAGGACCCAGGCTCTGTCCATAGCTCTGCTCAGCCTTCTTCCTTAGAGGGAGCTTTGTCCCAAGGATGGTTCTGTTCATGATCCCAAGATGGCTTTCAGACCCTATTCACATCCATGGGAGGAAAGAGAAAACCCGCCTTCCACAAAAGATATAAATCCTTTCCTTTGGACTATTTAGCTATAATGGTCACTCTTAGACCAATAATAGTCGTCAGAGGAAAGCTGCTGATTGGCTTGACCTAATCATCTGGTATGGAATGGATGCAACATCTGCAGATATAACTCAGGCTTCTCATCACCTTCACCCCTCTGCATAAGGACACAGAGATATGCAGTCTTTATACCACCTGACTTTCCTCCCTTTTATTCAGTGGTAGATGTGTTGCTTCAGAGGAGAAATGTTGCTGCAGAAAACCAAGCAAAACTGTAATTTCAAATGTTTAGGTTTCAAGTAAGCAAAATTTCAGGTTTGGAAACTTCCACATCAGATTTTGTGTTATGATTTGTACCAAATACAAGGAATAGAGATTGATTTAGAGATTTTGTAGGACTTTTATGAGCTTATCAGGATTCACACAAGAAAGAAAGCACTAGGGATCCAAGATGGCAGGCCAGAGGGAGGCAGCATTCTGTGTTGCTTTGTGACCTGGGATTCACATAGTGAGAATACTGCTTCTCTGCAAGCAATATTCCTGCACCCATGTGGGAATCACCAGGTAGTCCAGGGCTCCAGGCCTCAGCCTCAGAGTAGGTCTCCCAACTACTCACCTACGCAGGACTATCGGTACCGGAGCAAGACCATTGGTAGCACCAGTACCTGCAAAGAACTTTCAGCCACCCACACAAGCAGAAATCACAGACGCTGCTCCCATGCAGGACATCCAGCAGCTTCACAGGAGTAGGAACTCCCACCACCACTCCTGTGTGGACTCCCATTTACCAACGTGGTACTCCCTGGTGGCCATCATATTGGGACTCTTCAGCAGCGGAGATAGTTCCCTGCGCATAGTAGCCTGCCTGCACCCAAGAACCTCACACAGGCTCTGAAGTCAGCCAACAACCACACACTGAACACCACAGAGCTCTTCTCTGAACTCATGGTCCAACGCCATTGCCCAGCTCCCCCGATCCAATCTGATACCTCACTGTTAACAGCTGGCGCCTCCATCTTGGGCCCCCTTAATCACACATCTTCAGTGGAGGCAACTCCCAGTTTGGAACTCTGGCTGGTCAAGTACCCAGTTTCTAACTCCACCCTCTTGCCAGCAGCTGCGACTCCAGCACAGTGATACCTTGGTTACCTTCACCATCCTGTGGGTGGAGATACTAGCTAATAACAGATGATCCCACCTATTGGATGAGAAGGAAAGCAGGAAAACAATCCCTGTTTCTCCAACCAAAACAATCCCTGTTTCTTTCTTCAAGATTTTTTCCCCCGTCACCCTCTCTATTCTCCTACTCTCACATCTCCAATATATGTAAAACCGAGTATTTTGCATGAATTAGGATTTTGAGGACTGGGACATCCGAATAGTATATTACAATTGTGTTTATATTCTTTTTTTTCATTTTCCCCACCAATTTCTACTATTTTAACATTTTTAAAATTTTTCTTAACACATATATATGTGTGTTTGTTTTATGTACTCTACTGTTTTTCCAATTACTTGTCTACATAAAATTACTTCCTCTCCCTTCTCCTGCTACTAATCTTCCTCTTTAGATTTCTGTTTCACACTTCCTAAGATATAATAATTCTATATCTCACCTCCTACCTCCTCAGCATATCATTCTACTCTTCACCCCTGGTTCTTTGTCCTTCATCAGAAACTGTAGACCCTTTTACAAACCTACTGAGTATATTGTAGGTAATAATTGAATTAATCATTTCTCTACATTGTGACCAAACTGTAAATGTCTTAATAGCAAACATTTGTTTTCAGGGTGTATATTAGTTATATTGAGATCTGTTAACATTGTCCTTTACCTCAAAGGAGAGGTATAGGGACACAGGGGCACTATAAGCCTATAGGGTAAAAACAATAATGCCTCCGATCCACAGTGTTAAAAGGGAGGACACACAAGCAATATGAAAAGACAAGGGAAGAAAGTACCTCAAACAAATCAAGATACCATATTATTAGAATCTTCTGCAGCAGAAG